TAGTGTATTTTGTGTTTGTAGGGAGAGATGTTTAATAGCAGTAATACAGTTTTAAAGCTTTTTTCCCCCATTATTTCACTTTGTCTCTCAAAAATAACATGTTGTCATGCTCAAACTGGCCATATTATAAGCCGATAAGTGCAGCAACACAGCTGTGTCCTGAGCAAGCCACTAAAATAAAGCTCATCGCATCCCTGTTGCATTAGATAAGGGGTCTAGCGCCAACCCTGAACCAGTTAATCAAGGTCTTACTAGGCATGCTAGAAACTTCCAGGCAGGTGTGTTGAGGGACGTTGGAGCTAAACTCTGCAGGACACTGAGTTTGGAGACCACTGTATTAGATTGTACTTCTGTTAGGCTTCAAACAGCAGACAACATGAGGTGCGGTGACTGAACATGTGCTTCGTGGAATCAGAGCACAAAGCACCTGGTTTGCGATTTAGTCCATATGGCGGTAGAACGATGCAAAGAAAGACAGAATATGCCCTCTTATTTGCCTGTAAGGTGTGTCCTACTAAAAGCATAATTAAGATATAATTGCAAATTAATTGGCAGAAAATGACAAAAGTAGGTCTCGTCCGATAGCGTGAAGGGATTTATCAGAGGACGAAAAGCTCTACTTTCGTTCTTGTTCTAATTTAAGTAGCATTAAATGAGGATTGGAAAACAGTTGAATTCTCATTCGCTTTTCTTCAATAAATCTGTTGCATGGCCTCCAGTGGACAGCAAAGAGAACTGCATGTCAATTATTCATGGAAGTACGAATACGTTTTTCTAAAAAGAGGAAAACTGGGAACATATCGCTGTCCTCCCTGGAGAGACAGAGCTTTTAAGTGCTTCCATCTGGAGAAAACATATATGCGATAGCATAAAAGCATACACACACACACACACACACATGTGCACGGACACTTCAAACAGCGGGATATGCATTCAGACAAACGCTGCACAAACTGAAGGCATTTCGTTTTCTCTCGTTGCTTTTTTCTATCACTCATCTTCCAGATCCTCACCATCCCTGTGGTACTCATTGCCCTCTCTGGATTTTTCTTTTCTCTTTCAGCTGTTAAACATAAGCCTCTGCTTCCTGCATGTTCGCCATCTTTATCTTCACAGAACCAATATGTCATAATTTAAGGCAACACATTGAAAAACATGAAAAAAGACACGATATCAGGAATGAGTGCTGGAAGCCCCACAACTGATCAGACCAGATAAATGCATCTTTATATGTGCTTAACTATGTTTAATATTAATCAAGGTCATTACCTCTTCCTTATCCCCATATGTATGGTGTTCCTTGATTTCCAATTCATGAGGATAGTTTTCTTGGCAATAGTTAGACCCACTAGGAGTAAACTCTTTGTTTTGTTTAAATTGATTATGGTTATGTCACCTAAAATACAGAGGGAGGGAAACATTGGGATGACACAATAGTGATTTAGTGGCGTTTTCCCAGAATGTATTGATTGGGTTGCAATGCCATATAGCGTGAATATTTGTGTCTGGTTTATTTTGTGTGCAATGTGAGCAGGTTTCTGAAGTAAATCCCATGTTAAACTATTTTCGTCCAGGTAAGTGAAATCTATGAAGTACCTTATACTGTATAAGTTGCATTTTTGTCATAAAGTAGATATTTTTGCAGATTTGTGTCTAGAAAACAGCGTCTGGAGCAATGGATAAGTCTGATTCCCGTTTAGCATTTGGTAAGCTTAGTCTATTGTCTGATTTTGATGTTATTCTGTATATTTTGGATAGTAGGTTTTTTTTCGAAGAGGATATATTAATTAACTCTGAGATTAAAGGTTAAAGGTCAAGGTTAATGGTCCGAGTGTTGATTTTTGATTGGATAGATTAATTGATTTGTAAGTATTCCAAAAACCATTTACTAGCGATGCCGTGTTTCTGGGAGAAAGTTGCCAGGTTTTTATTATGAAAGATATGTTGAAGTTGTGTGAAGCCTTTTTCTGCCCATGTGCATAAATTGAGTGGCTTCTTGTTAACTGTAAAATCTGGATTATTCCAAATGGGGGTGTATTTAGCATGTATTTAAAATATATTTTATCCCAAATATATTTTTAAATATATGTACAAAAATGGACAAATATATTAATATGTTTAACATTCAATAATTATAAATGCAGTTTTGACCTTTAGTATAGGCTATTCCATTCATTGTATATGAATGTTGAAATATAAAAATATATTTTTGGTCACACTTTATTTTAACGTCCGATTCTCGTTATTAATTAACTATTAACTACTTTTGCCTCAATAAACTCCTAATTACTGCTTAGTAAGGTATTGTTAAGTTTAGGTATTGGGTAGGATTAGGGATGTAGAATATGCAGAATATATGCTTTATAAGTACTAATAAACAGCCAATATGCTAGTAATATGCATGCTAATAAGCAGCTCGTTAATAGTGAGAATTGATCCCTATACTAAAGTGTTACCATGCATTGCTTTCCCATATGGGCAAACTCATGTTTAAAATCGCTGTAGTCTCAAGGTTTAAACTTTTCAGGCAAATCAGCCTATAAATGATTTCTTTATCACTGTCTGTGCAGTTTGAGCTTGGACAGAAGAATCAATTAACATTCTGTTTTGCATCTATATAAGGTTTTCATATGAATCCATAGTGGCGTGAGATGTCATAATGCACCACACCTGACACCAGTCAGGCCATAGAGGACCGTCGTTCTTTCACACGCACACAAACAAGCACACACACACACACACACACAGCGATCTCTCTGGCTACATAAGGACACTGTAGCCCCGGAGCCTCAAACCAGCGAACCTTGAGCACGGCCGGCAGTTCCCATGGCAACCTGCATAGAACTAATCACCTGGGGACACAGAACAGCCTTATGGGATGTGTTGTCCTCGGAAGTAAAATTGTTATGGACTGTTATGGTGCAATTATGACAGGATTAATATACCTCACAAAATGTCCACTATGTCAGGAGAGTATTATTTAGTGTTCCTTGTGATAAATAAGTATGGAATACTATTCTCGTATTGTTTCTGCATTATATGTAGATTTATTATATGCACAGAATACCGGATTGTCTCGCTACATTTGCCAGAAATATGCGATATATAACCAGAACACCTTGTGTAATCCACTGCATCCCAAAATGCATTGCATTCAACTCGACCTTCTACACTGTCAGAAAAAAAAAATGTGCAGAAACCTTTGAGGGTACAACATCTTGTTACTGAGCATTACCCTTAAAAGGGATTATTTACTTATTTACCTCTAAAAGCTGTACATTAGTACCTTAGTGTCATACCATGCACCCTTAAAGGTGACATATCATGAAAATCTGATCCAGGTTTTAAGTGCTATAATCAGGTGCATCTACCAACCAAGGAAACGTGAAAACGATTAACCCCGTAACTTAGTTTTGGGAAGCCTTTTTCTGCAAGCGTCTGAGAAAACGAGCACGTCTGATTTCGCTCCCTTGGTGACGTGGCAAAGGGATCTCATTATAATATGACCGGCCCTTTAGTCTGTAAATGTAATACACCCACAGCGCCGTCATTGTGTTTTCGCAAGTGACAACCAGCTCTAATGCCATGGCGAAAGTTTGAGCAAAGCATGCTAACTGTGCTGACGAGCACAGAACACTGTTTAGAGTCCCAGCCTCAGAGGAGACGACAGCAGTGATTGATTGATTTATTAACTGTATATTGCTGCTGATCTAAAATAATCATGCGATTTATTTCTCAGCTGTTTATCTTCACAGACATAACCCACTGTTTTTGTTACTCGTGTGTTTTTAACGTAAACTGTGTGTGTGAATGAGAACTTAGTTTAGTGCTCGCATGCTGTGACAGCCGCTTTCTGTGCGTGTGCTTCAGATGTGTGCGCTCAGAAAACCCTATATCAGAAGTTTAAACTCATATGCTTTCAAACGCATGATTTCAGCACGATAAACATGATAATCAGAACCAAAACAGATGTTTTATAGCAGGTCCCAGCTGTAATGGCTCTATTCTGGAAAAGGGGGCGGGGAGCAGCAGCTCATTTGCATTTAAAGAGACAGGCTCGCAAAACAGCTAGTTTCTGCTTCCACTCAAAATAGGCATTTTCAAAATGATATAATAAATGATCTGTGGAGTATTTTGAGCTGAAACTTCACAGACACATTCTGGGGACACCAGAGACTTATATTACATATTGTAAAAAGGGGCATAATACAGTATGTCTCCGTTAAGGTACTAAAATGCACCTTTTATAAGGTACTTTTTCTGCACAGATTTTGCTGAGAATGTACTGTATTTAGAATGCGACGAACAAACAATAAGTAATACCAGCCTTGGTTTTTAACTCATTATTTTTAAACATTGCCAAAGACATTTTTACACAAAATTAGATTTAAATGCTCAACCGCAATTATTCTAAGATGAACAACATTCACTGAATGTTAACATGCAGCATAGTGAGGTAATGTGAGAACAATGAAGCGATTCTAGCCAACTACTGTCAAAGACACTTATCACTGCATAGTATTTTTATATATAAATAGCATAGTATGTTTATGTATAATTATATTTGATATTTAAATTTTGTTTTGTTTAATAAATACACACCAATGAATCATGCAAAATAATAACAGGTATAATATGCATTACATTTATTGGTTAATATTTTTGGTATTATGCAGGATTTTTTGTTTCTGTTTATTTGTTTTCTGTTTATTTATTTAAATGCAAAGCAAACAAATTTGATGAGAAAAGGACACTGTTTGCAACAGAGTGTCTTCACATAACAGCTATGTAGCGCACTACTGTATACGGTTGACTGTGCAGCAAACAGCATGACAGCATCCCATTCTGAATGCAGCTTCTGTTCTGCTGCTGCTACCTCCACTTTTATACACCTTCATTTACTCTCCTTTCACATTCGCTTTATCAGGTTTGGCATGTTGACAGCACTGAGAGAGCATTTCCCCAAACACTTCCACACACACACAGAGCTCCTCACTCACCGGTACAGCATGGCTTGTCTCTCTGATTGGCAGTCATTGATGCTGAGGCCACACTCTCTCAGGTAAAGCTCAAGACGTCGCCTCTCAACCAGTCTGTGCGCCGCCTCCAGGATCTGAGAGGCTAGAGCGTCTGTTTCTCCTTTCTGCCCCTTCCCACGGCCTCGCACAGCTCCTTTTGCCCCGGCGCTGCTTGCTGGCCCTGACGAGGCTTTAGGTTTCTTGCTGATCCTGTACAGGTCCTCAACGGAGAACTTGCCCCCCTTTACTCCACGACTCCCAAACATGGCCATATTCCTGGGTTTGGTTTGTGTTCGTCCTCGGTTTGAGCTCTCAGCTGAGCATTTAGACACACTCCAACGAGTAGGACTAAATGTACAAAGTAAAAAAGTTTCAGTATGTAGGTACAAAGTAAATATATCATTTGGAGATGCCACATTTATCCGAAACGCTCACAGACAAAAGAAGAAGAAGAAAAAAAATGTTTGTTCTTTTACACTATGAAAATGGTGCCAAAACATCTGTACATATCACTGTCAAAAAGCACACACACAGTCCCTTTCAAAATATCTTCTCTTGCACTGTAAAAAAAAAAGTCTATTTTTATATTTTCTAGTAAATATATCTATACAATCTAAAAAACAAGATGCATTTAAATCGTGAAAATAATACGATTTGCTGTAAAAGAATATCTCCTGATTTAAGATCATTTTTCTTACTCCATGAAAATAGTGTGATGTTGTTGCTGATGCTTTAAGCATAAACCTTTAGCTTAAAGATAAACAAATAAACAACAAATAAAAACAACCCAGGTGAATGACGCTTAAAAATTCAAGAAGGTTTGCAAATCTCAGAAAAAATGCAGTTTCTTTCTTACTTTCGTCTCTTTTGCTCTTTCCCTCTTTTTCTCCCGATCTCTTTTGCTCTTTGGAATGAAAGATGACGGGGGATTTACAATGTCATTTAGATTTAACACACACACACACACACACACACACATTCACACACACACACTCACACATTCACTCTCACTCTCACACACACAGAGAGAGAGAGACTAATGCACAAGCAGCTTGCATTGGACCTGATTGGCAAAAAATGAAAAAAGAAAAAAAAAATCATCGGATGAAAAGTGACCAGGTCACCCGTCCCTCATCCAGCAGCTCAAACGCAGGCTGTAGGAAACGAAATGCTAAAAAAAGACACAACACAACAAAGGACTGACATCTAAAGCTAAACCAAAAATACCACACGAAGATCTAATTATAAAAATGGATGTTTGACATAAATGATTTCACAGGCATAATCTCACTCGTTTTAATATAATCTGCAAACAGTAGAAGCACTGCTCAAAGCACTAGATACAGAGTATGGTAAAATATCATATGAAGTAAAAACAATACTCAGTATGATATAAGTACAGATGTCTGTTTCCATATAGAAAGAATAAAAGCACAAATTAAATCAGTTTTACAACTCTCGATTGCATGCAATAATCTGGATTACGTAATCAGATTCCAAAAATGCAGTGCTTGTAATTAGATTATACTACGTTTTAAAATCAGATTACAGTTTTTGTGGATTACTTGATTGCAGTAAATTGTTTATAACTTTTTATAAAAGTTTTTTTTCTCTTTTAAATTTTACTAGTAAGAAATTCCACTGTGTGCCATATTGAATACAGTGAGCATCCACAATATGCAATGTCCATCTAAATGTTCATTTGCAATCCATGCTTCTGAATCTGAGGACAAAAGCACCTCTCAGTCAATTATACCGTGTATGAGATGAATAATTACACAAGTTATTAAACATAGCAGATGATAAAAAATATTTAAAACCTGGAAGACTTTGACCGTGTTTTCCTGTTTATTCATGTTTGTTCACGCGATGCAGGGATTGCCAAGCGTTTTTGCCCGTCAAGCCCCTCTGACCTAAAACATTTACTTTCAGTGTCCCTGAGATATAAAGTTAACAATAATTTAATAACACATTTGCATTTTTTCTGATTAATGGTCATTTGTATTCTTTTTTTCTATAACAATAATCTCTAAAGAAAAAGTAATTTTCATCATGTAATCTGTAATCAGTTAAACACACTACAATTTGTAAGTAATCTACCCTGCACTGCTCCTAGGATCTAATAGAGACTAAACTAAATCACAAATTCAGTATGAAGTGTTGTGCAATATCACAATCTCTTCTATCAATGTCGGTAGAAACGTGTTGTAGTGATAAAACGTGCATGCAGCATCATGAGAAACATCTCAAACAAAGCTGAGACTCAAGTGAGACATGAGCTGAACTCTATTAGTCATGAGAAATCTGCATCTACAGTGTAGAATTCTCCTCTGGATTGTTTTTCAACAGGAGCACTGAGCACTCACTGTCTCTCGCTCTCGCACACACACACACACACACACACTCACACACGCACACACTCACACACACACACACACACACTCACACTCACACGCACACACACACACACACACACTCACTCACACACACACTCACACTCACACACACACACACACGCACACACACACACACACACGCACACACACACACACACACGCACACACACACACACACACGCACACACACACACACACACGCACACACACACACACACACGCACACACACACACACACACGCACACACACACACACACACGCACACACACACACACACACGCACACACACACACACACACGCACACACACACACACACACGCACACACACACACACACACGCACACACACACACACACACGCACACACACACACACACACGCACACACACACACACACACGCACACACACACACACACACGCACACACACACACACACACGCACACACACACACACACACGCACACACACACACACACACGCACACACACACACACACACGCACACACACACACACACACGCACACACACACACACACACGCACACACACACACACACACGCACACACACACACACACACGCACACACACACACACACACGCACACACACACACACACACGCACACACACACACACACACGCACACACACACACACACACGCACACACACACACACACACGCACACACACACACACACACGCACACACACACACACACACACACACACTCACACACACACAGATGTATTACTCTCTGTCCTATTTGTGTCACAGGACACAGAGGGATTTGGAGGGGGATGAGAGACTAGAGAGCAGTGTAACAGACTCGCAGTGATTAATCTGTTGAACTCAGCACAGCTCCAGCTTTAAGCACTGCATTCTTTAACAGTACTCTATTCACCCATCACGGCACATCATGCAAGCACGCACAAAAGACTTATTATAAAGATTATTTATAAAGAACATATTTTTATTTTTATTATTTTAAACATAAATCTATTAAGATGTACCCTTGTGAAAAAGAAGTACACTTTGGCATACAGGATTTTTTTTTTAAATAGTACACTTGAAGTGTGAACTGAATATAATATTTTTGGACACTAATTGCATGTTAACTACAATTGAATTAAAATGTATTATAGTTTAATTTATATTAAATGCAATTAGATGAACTATTAGAGTGATGTTTGACCCACTTAAGAACATCTTTATATGTAAATTCATAATTATGTCTGTTGTCGCTGAAATATGGTTAAAGTGTTACTGCTGAATGTATTGACAAGCGTTTATGGTGAACTAAAATATACTTTACTGTCATTTCTATTTTATGCATTTAAATATGTATAACGATGAAGTACATTTAGAATATATTACCTTTAAATATATTATCAAATCAGTACTGTGATATCAAAAAGTACTTGATGTGCTTTAGTATGTTAGTCAACACAACAAAATAAGTGTCCTTTTAAAGCACGACAAAAGATTGTTAAAACAATGATTTATAATGTACTTTAAAGTAACACTTGTCATTTGACTTTAATTACAATTTTGATAGAGTGTGTTAAGAAGCATCATGAAAGTGAACTCTCTACAAGTACACTTAAGTGTTTCATTAATATTATATTACATGCAAGTAATTAAAAAATACTTTAAAGATGTGAAGTACGCTATAAGTGCATTATTCAATACAATTGGGCCATTTCCTTTTCTCTGAAAAATTACTCACTTTTGTTTTTTTTTTTTAAGTAAATTTAATGAGGACCTTCATTTACACAACATGCATTTCTGCAAATTAAATACATAGAATTGTCTGTATTCTTGTTAAACTTTGTAAACTGTCCAAGCATTTGAACTTCATATTGTTCATCCACTGAAGAAGCATGTGGCTGCAGGGATTGCCATCATTTTTTTAATACATTTATTAAAGTGTGGTCAAGTGTGGTGATGTCAGGTGTGCATTCTGTGTTTTGGACATTTATATCGTTATCATCTCTGTTGCCTTTTTGGTCCTTGTTTCCTCTGGAATGTATACCCGTCATTAGTTGTCATAGTTTCTGATTACGCACTTGTTTGACCTATAGGTGACTGATTCATCCCTGCGTTAAACCTGTGTCTGGTTTCTTATCTCGTCCTGTTCAGTGTACTAAACCCTGTTTGTTTCCGTTCATTTCTGTTCTTGTCTCTGCACTATAGCTATCATCTGCTTTTTGGTTCTTCGATTTTGTGGGACAGAAAAGTTACTAATTGATATCTAAGCATTTAATTAAGCATTTTTTATTAATGTAGATTGTTATGGCTAATGCATTCATGTTCTGGGTTGGATTAGGTAAATACCAAATATAAGACAAAAATGCAAATGTGCAAATAAAAAGCATCTTCCTCTGAAAACATTAAGCTTTACTTTAGGAATAGGTATAATCACCTGAACTTCAAAGTGCAGGTAATATCTCATACTAACAATAACTAACTAACTAAATACTAATAATAAATACACAAAATACTAACAAATTAATCATATTTATTATTTTTAATTTGTTGACCTTGTTGTGTACAATAACTTTAACTGTTAATTTGATACAAAAAAAAAGTTTTGTGTTTTTTATTTAACATTTTATTCTGTATTGTAAATAATTGCTTTATTGACTTCATCTCATGCATAGTGTTAAGTATCAGTACTTCATTAATATTGCTATCGCAGCTGTGCTCTTGAACGATGTGAGGTGCTAAATAAAGAAACGCTGCAAAAATAATGAACGCAAAAGCATTTTAAGCCTACAGGATTTCTTAACTGCATAGCTGTGCTGACTAATTAACCAACGTTTGGCACTCAATCACAAATGCAACAAACTCATAATGACGACTGAGATGTATTACTGAGGAAAAGTGAATTCACTTAAAATAGTAGTTTGAATGAACAACCATTAAACTTAAAAAGAAAGTTGGCATGACTATAACTACTGAATGCTTTGCAGATGGTTGCTTTCTTTTTTTAAATGAACTATATTTGGAAGAATTCATTTGAACATCTCAGTAAGAACAGTGTTCAACCGTCTGACTCAAAGTGTAACGCTACAGAACCACACACACAGAACGATGAGCTGCTCTTTCTCCATCATCCGCTGTAAGAGGGTCAGATTATCAGGGATTGAACTCTTGCCTAAGAGACTGCGACTCTAGCTGTTCCATCGCATCTCTTCCCTTTCATTCAGTCAGTCACTCCGTCTTCATGTCTTCATTCAGGAACGCTGGGTTCCAGCCAGAGCAAGAGAAAGGGTTTTGGTGTGTGTGGGCAGAAAAAAAAAAAAAAAAGAGATATTCCAAAATTCTGCTCTTTTGACTTCAGGTTGTTTTTGCAAATGTCCCATAAATCCAGATGTTCTGAGTGACTTTTATCTCAGAGCTGTGCAGTTGCTAGGCTGTTGCTGAAGTGATCATATTTTAGTATATTGTTATTTAACATTAAATAAGTACAGTCTTAAAAATTAAGCTTATAAAAGGGGTTCTTCACAGTGATGCTGTCA